GTTGGATGGCGTGGGCGTGGTTGATTTAATAAGGTGGTGGGCAAGTACGCCAAACTAGAATGGACTGATAGGGGGACACTTCGAGAGTGAAAACGGGGATGTTGGTATGCAACAGGTGTTGCATACCAACATCCTGATGCTGATGTTAATTTTGTATTATACCTTCTGGAATTGGTTTCCAGGATTTCATTTAGCCTGTATAATTTTGGGCAAGTTTTCGGCATTTGAGTTGTATACGACAATTGTTGGTTAATGGGACTGCCCGTCCAGTTTATCTGGGATCATTTTGCATATCACGCCTGGATAATCGTATTGACCATTTGATTCACCTCAGCGGATTTATTTGAAGCCGTGAAGAGAGAAAATTCTGCCCTTCTTGATGGATTGTAGTGCAGGGCACAAAATATGGACTTTGTGGCCCAGTAAAGTCACTTCGGCCCGTCCATTGAAGCAGAGATAGGATTCACAGGGAATGCCAACCGCCCCTTTTTCCAGCAAGTACCATTACTGATGTTTACTCCTGGTATTCAATTATTATTTTCAACTGAACCGACTTTGACCATATCGGTAGAATAGTTATTTTTGGACATTTCGAATTTAGATGGTGCAATACCATTGATAGATAGAGGTAGTTCGTATTTCGAAACTTCTTTGGACTTGCAGTTTTTTTAATTGGGTTTGAAATTTTGATTCATACTGAATTTGGCGCCACAGAATGTTTGGAATACAAACTGAGTAGAGAATAGTGTCTTCTGTGTAATTAAGTGTTCATATAAAGGTATTTGTTTCGAAAGAATTTTTCTTTCGTGTAATTCAATGTTTATATGAAAGTAGCTATTTCAGGTGGGATTCTTCTTCCAGTTGGTATCTAAAAGTTACTTCTTTGCATGATCTACACATCCACGTATACAGTTACTCATTTTGAAATTCGTTTCTTTGGAAGATTCCCACATTTTTTAAAAATATATTCCTTTTATGATACCCTTCACATCTTTCAGTGAAGTCTTTTCCATGACGGCCTTCATGAGTTTCATCCTGGTTTCAGTTGAATCCTCTTTCATGTCAACTCCAGATCCTTTGAACATCTCTTTTTCACTATATCTTATATGTCATATCAAACTTGCATTCTAGAGCATGATTGTATATTTGCTCCAACAATTCCGAATACCCAGATTTGAATTCAAAAGTTTCGCAATCATTTCAGATGGATTTTCATTTGCCTTTTCTTCAATGTCGAATAGCAATGTCAATAGGTACGTTCGTTCTCGTACTTTAGTAGAGAAATCTTTTTTTTTTCGCATTCTTAATCATTTAACTAATTCCCATTGATCACTTTGACATTTTGTTCTGACTCGGCGACTGACTCGGCTACGCTGTCGGTACTACGATTTGCCTGATTGAATATTCTTAAAGAATTGAATTCATACTGGTACTAACAGTATTCCTGACTTCATCAGTCATTTCACGTGTTATCACCCTATTTTTTGCAATGATCGGTTTGCCAGTAGAACACGACGATACAATTGAAATTAAGAAAACTTTTGATCACTTCAAACTAGGAGCGCAAAACGTGTTTACTCGCTGCCAACCATACACGCTATATATTGTTCTTCAATCCTTCAGTATTATGTATTCATTTTTGCAACATCATTATCATTTATTGTTTTTCTAGTTCGATGAATCTGCGACGAATCAGGATAACGAGACTAGCAAGGTTCCTGAAGAAGGACACGAACCTGGATGTGTCGTAGGTAAGTAAATTCACTTAACATTTTTATAATAATCATTTGACTATTTCAAAAGAGTAGTGTGTAATGAGAGGTGATAATAATGTTTCAGTCGACTCATCTACAATCTACAAAAAATATCTCATAGACTATTAGTTAAGGGAAAAATTTTGAATGATATAGCTGGAAAATGTGACGTAGAATAAATCCGAGACAAACACTGTTTTTCAAACACCAGAACCGCAGTTCTCTTTTAGATGCACCAACCAAGTTGACTTTTTGAGGAGATGAAGTGCTAACATGGAAATTAAATTCCGATTTAAGAACTAATGAAAAGTGTTTTGTCTTGTGAGCAATTATGATTGTTTTCAAAGAATATGAAGTCTAAAAAAATTAAATTCTGAAGTTTTCATACGTGATTAGGAATATTTAAACCGTTTCAGCTTGATAATGTATACAACATTCAAACTGAAAGAAGTGAGACCTTACATGACATTCTGCCATCATTATATCACAACAAAAAATCATTTTAAATTGTTTGAATTTGCCATTTATATATTGTTTTATAAATATACCGTGTACATAACTTCCAACAGGTTATTTTCTTTGTTTATTATCATTATTATGTCAAGATTTTACAAAATTCCTTCCAACTCGATTTCCGCATTGATTTTCTTTCACAGTTGACTTCAACTGTGGAAAGTTTGATTATTTTCAAATAAGACTTTAATTACAAAGTGTTTTTGTAACGGGGTAGCAAGTCTGAGGGAAAATCTCATCGCAGCTACAACAGAAATCATCTACTCCTACCAAAGAATCAATCCCGCCAATCCACAGCTCGGCTCGAAAGAATTGGTCCTCGTTATGATGCAAGGTATACTGTATCTTCCATACGGGCATCGCTACCAGATGAAGATCGTCAATCTTTTGAACGAAATTCTCAAATGTCCCGCCTACCTTGCTCCTTTGATCCAGGCCAATATAATTGGGCAAATTTATGAACTATCGAGATATGTAGCACTAACCACGGACAAATGTCTGCCCTACTTTTATGAAAATTGGGCTGAAAAACTCCTACAGTGTTTCTTTCACGTGATAAATACAGAGCCAGCCCATGGAAGTTTCGAGCACGCTTTGATTAAGGGAGACAAAAATTTGAGAAACCAGGTGGCTTTGGTCATGCCGTATATAGTGAAGTAAGTATTTTTGCCATTCATTCCGGAAAAAAATTCGATTACTATAGTCGACCAAATAAATTAATTCAGACTCTAATTTTACAGAGAGGAAGGCCTTTTTCATTTAATGGTCACATGTGGAAGACTCATCATTCTTGAACTCATAGAGCAAGATAACGAATATAGGAAGGCAGCTGTCTCATCGATTTGCTTCCTAGCCAGGAAGATAATTCGTATTCCAAAACTCAAGATACAGAAGGCATCTATGCTGAATGACAAGTTTTCAGCAATGCAGGACACAAAAGAATCGAGATTGGTCACCTTCAGACTGGACGACGGCTCGGTGATTCATGCCAGCCATGAACTCCTAATGAAAAAATCAGAGTATTTTCTCACCCTGTTCAGTGGGCGCTTCAGAGAAAGCGTCGAGGATGAAGTGAAACTCCCCGATGTCGACCCTGAAACATTCAAAAGACTCCTAAACTTGCTTGAACACCCAAAATTCGAAGAACACAAAGCCGAAGACCTATTCGACATTCTCCAACTGTCGGATCGCTTTCTGCTGACGGAGCTGTACATCTGCCTCTGTGAATGGATCAGTTGTAACGTGATGAAGCCACACAATGTGAGCAACATCTATCAGTGGTCTCTAGAGACAGGGCTACATCTGCTCAGGGTGAATGCCGTTAGATTCGCCCTGACTTTTGATGCCGATGACGATGTGAGATTGGAAATGTTCCGAGAGTTATTCGAACTGAAGCACACGAAAGTGCTCTCGAAGGATATTTCCGATTTGTTGGGGAAATATCTACAGAAAGAAAACCCTTCCTGCTCCTGCTAAGCGGGAAGGGTTTTCCGTCTCTATGGCTGAATCGAAGTATGTATTACTATTGATCAACTATTCCTAATGTGTATCTTAAAGTGAACATAAAGTTTACAACGAATATATTTGCTTCTTTTCTCTTCACAGGTGTCCATATTATCTCATCTTGTAAGGTGTACCTTCAATTATAGCTTATAGTAAAAGATAAACCGAGATCATTGTAACAATAAACCTTGGCTATTTTGCCAAAATGTATCTAATGTATATTCAAGAATAATATCTTCTTAATATAACCTCAGTCATAATCAAGTATTCATATCCATACTTGACTTTCTGATGTTAGATTGTTGAAAATAGATTGTTGAATTCTGTAAAATTGAAAATGAATACATTATCAAGTAAATGTTATTTTATTTACTGCCAAATTATTAACTTCATTGATGTATTTCTGTTGCTTCTAAGGATTTGGACTACGAAGCTTACACAGATAGTCAAGATTATTTATTTAGGTATTTAATTATTTCTTAACGTATTCAAAAAACACTTCATTGTGAGATTTTCACTAAACAATTTCACAAAAACGCAATACGTGTTTCTGTGTTTCGCCATACAATGGCTTCTTCAAGTGTGTATTTACACTTATAAAGACACAATAAAATGTTTCATGAATACGTTAGTTATGGATTTTCATCAAGTATAGGCCAATTCCATCATATACTTATTCATTCTTCCATTCTTTCTTATTTTCAATAACTCATTCAATTTATTCATTCCATATTCTGCTGAAAGTTAGTTGATATCTTTCATCCACTGAGAATATATTGTTTTTTGTATATTACTTTATTTTTTTCACCAACCTGTTAGTATATGTTTCAATTGATGAATAAAATAATGTTTTCACAAGCGAGTTTTGATGATATAAATAAAAAAATTCTAGAAGTAGTCAATCAAGATGCTGCTCTTACCACCTACTTTTCTCTGATTCATTCTCTTCTTCGCTATGGTATATTAGCCTGGGGAAACTCAGCTCAATCACATTTAATGTAACGAAAACTTGGCCCCTCCTGTAAGTCAGAAACGGACGTGTATTCAAAAATTTCAAAGAACACGTCACTTTTCATTTCTAGGAGGACTAATTCTGATATGGAAATCATTCCCGAAACTTTACCCCCCTGCGGTCAGCAACTACCCCCCTTATTTTTTTTCGATGACATGGGCATTTTTGACTTCAGGTGTCCCTACAGAAAGAAGTCTATGGATGTGAGATCAGGTGATCTAACTGGCCACTCCACTGGACCCCTTCTGCCAATCCAACGCATTGGAAAACGGTCATCCAAAAACTGCCTCACCCGAAAATCGAAATGTGGGGATGCACCATTCTGCTGGAATGTTATTTCATTTTCCACTAATTTGTCATCATTTTCTAAAATTTGTGTAATCATAGGATCTACACAGTCTTGTAATAGATTTAAGTATGTGTCTCCATTGAGATTACCTTGAATGAAGAATAATGGTCCAACAATATGATTAGCAAGAATGCCGGCTCATACCTACCATACAAAGTGCCAAAAAAGCTGATTTTTCACTCATCCACTGAAAAACTGATGGAAGACTTTGTGTTGCTCTAGAGATATTTGAAAAAAAAAATCATAATCGAATGATAATTTGACCGAAATTGTGTTTAATGTAAGAACATATTTTAGAACTACCAATACATTTTGTGTACTAAGTGTACTTAGCACTTCTCTGAATGGGAGGCTAAAAATTATAGGATTTCTTCATTTGATCTTTATCAAGAGTGCCGTAGGTGTGTTCAACAAAATATCTTACACGGAGAAGAGGTGCAGGTGATCACAACAGGATATTTTATGCATCTAGGTCTAGATGCACAAAATAGAATATTTTAGAGTCCTAACGATCCATATTTAGTGGTTTTTTCCTAGGAGTTGAAGAAAAATAACTTTTTGGTAACGCGGTATTCATCAGTGAGTAAAAAGAATACATCGCACGACCATTGAGAACTATGGAAAAAAAGAATCGCTGGTTAATATAAAAAGTAAATATTGACTTCATCCTTTGAAAGTAGTTTCTGAATGAATTTATTTGAGTTTTTCATCAAAATGAAAGACACAGCAGAAATGTATCTTTGGAACTGAGAACTCTTCGACATACACTTCATTATACACTTCTGCTATTATGTTACGTATTGAAGAATTTTCAGAATGACATTCTACATTTACCTCTAAGAATTTTCGTAAGTAGGAGAGAAGAATCCTTCAACAATATAGTCATCATCAGATATTTTTTCAATAACGTCGATTCATACTTTCCTCCTACTTTTGAATGGTCTGAATTTAGTATTTTTTGTTTGATGACACCCGAGAAAGTTCATGACTGGGGGACGAGACATGAAAGATAATTTTTCTCAAACATTTCGTAGTTGCACAACGTGGAAAAATTTTACTGGAAATATTATATTGTGCTATCAAAGATTCGGTCATCGGTATTTTAGGTATATTAACGTGAATGAAAAGTCACAGAAATTGTTCCAAATCAAAAATGAGTATTGCTTCCATTCGAGCAATCAAATTTCCCTGCCCTTGTTTTTATACTTGAAATATCTTTACAGTATTTGAAAACTTGTGTGTGTAACAACACATCAACAATATATTTTCAGTGTTCTTTACATTTTTCTTGTGTCTCAAACCATTTAGGAAGATACTTAAAAAGTTGTTTATTTGCTTTGTCCCTAATATTGCTGATTATGTTTTTGGCACAGTATTTTTTGATATACTGGTTATAAAACAGCATTTTCTTATGTGAATTGCCTCATAAACTTTGAGGGCGTTTTCAAACCACTTGAGTTTCGAATATTGTAATTTTTTGTAAAAAGTCAATAACTCATCATCATCTGCCAAATCTTCCTCGCTTTGTAAAATAACTTTACATTCACGACATTTAAATGGGTCTAAAAATGTTTTATCAAGTAACCAGCAAGGTTTACTACTGCGCAGTATTCCACTGTTGTTACTTAGTGATTTTGGGCTCAGACCAGGCAATGTGATGTTGCCTGAAAAAGAAAAAATACTAACTGGTAACTCATTAAAACAACTTGTTGAAGCTTTTATTTTTACAAGATTTTATTTAGTTTCACCTATATCGGTATATGACTGTGTCTGTAATCAAATCTTGCAAGTTAAATTTGACACACTTTTAATCATCCCATTGATTTGATATTTGGTAAGTGTAGATAATTCCGATTAAAATGCATTATGAAATTTTTGTTAGAAAAAACAAAATAAAATGGCGGCTCCATTATGGCGGACAAGTTTTGTGATTATGGTCTAATTCTATTCAAAATTGGTATCTTGCGGGTTTACAGGGTTGGAGANCAGTTCTCTGTTTTATCTGCCAATGTTTGAAGTAGATAGAAATTACGGTTGTTATTATACAGTCTGTATTTGTTGATAGTGTTATTATATTATTACATATGATGATTTTTATATTTTCATTATGAGACATTAACACCTTGGAATGTGCCATTCATTTCATAACACCGCTCATTGAATTCACGTACAAAAAATCCTAGAACTGATATCAAATTTGAAATGAGACTTTTCTGTCATCTGGTGTATATGAAATATTGTTTTGACAAAGTTCTGAAAGCGTGAACCACGTGTGAAGATTGGTGAGTTCGGGACTTTCGAGGATAATCAGTGAGCCTAGTGACTCTCGTTAAAGAAAAGTTTCTGTGAGTTTTTTTTTTGTTTTTTACATAAATTTTGCGTCTGTATTGCAAGTAGTGTGTAGTGCTTGATTTAGTATGGGGATTGAACCTCCACCCACGGGTGGAGGGGAACCTCCTGACATTAACATGGACGTGTTTAATATAAAAAATCAACTTTCTCCCTCATCTAAAGATATCATCAACACCCTTCATCAATTATCACCCATCCACAAAACTGCCTTCGAAACATTAAAAGCCGAAGTAGCGGCATTATCAGAACTTTTCAAGGATGATGCAATTGTTCTCAAAGAAGTCGAGGTTTTACAAAAGAAATTAGCCTCTGCCAAACGAAGGAAACAGTCATAACATGACACCGACTTTGGGCCTTTCACAGTCATTGCTGAAGGCACCAATGCATCTAAAATCCATCCAATGGACCTAGGCAAAAAACTTTTCACCTTGGGGGTAACCAATATCACAGAGATCAAGAAAAAAGGTGCTAACCGTATTGGAGTCACTTTCTCCACTTCCAGAGATGCTAATGATTTCCTATCTAATCAAGCATTCCTTAATCTAGGTTTTAAAACTTATATCCCCCAAAGGTTCCTTACAACAAGAGGAATTGTTGAAAATGTGGCCCTTTCCATCACTTCGGACGGTATTATAGAACATGCCAAGTGCTCTTCTAAAGTCTTTGATGCCAGAAGGCTAAATAGAAAAATTAGGCTGAGAAATGAAGTCTCATATGTACCATCTTACACCATGCTAATCACTTTTGAAGGCCGGTCTAGGCCAGAGACCATCAACCTATTTTCCTTCACAACTCTCGTTGAAGCCTATATTGCCCCAATAAACCAATGCAAAAAATGCCTCAGATTTGGCCATTCCGCCAACTTCTGCAGGGGTCAGAAAAGATGCTCACGATGTGGAGATATGCATGAAATTTACAAGAACGAGTTGAGGTGTATTTTTTGTCATGGACCTCATGAAGCCACTGACTTTGCTTGCAAAGAATTTGAACGACAACTCCTCATCAATGAAGCTATGGCTTTCCATGACCTTTCTTACTATGAAGCCTTTGAAATATTTCCTCCTCTAATTCCCAAGGAACCAACTAAGCAGTTCAACAGGATTCCTCAAGTTTTTCCTCATCTACCAGGATCTTCGCAAACTCCTTTGATGCAATTCTTTTCTCCTCCACTAAATCAGAGAAGCTATTCGAGGGTAGTCTCAAGAGCCAAAAGACAGCGACCAAACACCATAGAAAGGATTTCACCAGGCTACGATGTGACTGTTCACAAGGAAGCCCTTTTTCCCCAACCTACTAGAATCCCTTCCTACAGCACAGCCTCATCATTACAATCCCTCATTGCCCAATCTTCCTCCTCGTACTCCCATAATCCCTCGGCTTCCCAAATACCAGCATCGTCATCTGCAAGCCAAAATCTTTCATCCTCTCCCTCTGAAAACATTGACCATGTAATTACAAATCAATTGACACCCATTCTGAAAATTTTTTTCGATAATGTTATTAATGCTAAATCTAAAAATAATGGGCATAACTCAGAAAGTCAGTAAAAACCTTTTCGTGCATCCATCTAGTGTAAAAGCTTTAGGCTACGATGTGACTGCCCATAAGGAAGCCCTTTTTCCCCAACCTACTAGAATGCCTTCCTACAACACAGCCTCATCATTACAATCTCTCATTGCCCAATCTTCCTCCCCGTACTCTCATAATCCCTCGGCTTCCCAAATACCAGCATCGTCGTCTGCAAGCCAAAATTTTTCATCCTCTCCCTCTGAAAACATTGACCATGTAATTACAAATCAATTGACACGCATTCTGAAAAATTTTTTCGGCAATGTTATTAATGCTAAATCTAAAAATAATGGACATAACTCAGAAAGTCAGTAAAAACCTTTTCATGCATCCATCTAGTGTAAAAGTTTGCACTCTCACTTTTCGCCTTGCCTGTTTCTTTTATCACATAGGTTTTTTATTTATTTTCTTGCTAACCTTATACACCTTTCATTCCCTTCAGCGCATATTATTTGTTCTGCCTCTTCTCTGGTTCATTTTTTGCAGGGCCTGTTAGAGGTCTTCAACCAAATTATTATTCATATGACTTCTACACTTCTTCTTCCTTTTTTTACTCCCCGACTTGGACCGCTAGAGGTCTCTATCCAGTGTATTATCTTCATGTTTCCATACTTCGTACGATGTTGGCTGCACTTTTTCGGACAAACTGAAGTACTAATGTTTTATAACTCAGGGCACTACCAATTACACAGGCACCTCGCCTTTGATTTTGGTTTCCTTTTTTCAATTTCACAATGGATCTAAGGGTTCTTCATTGGAACATGAGGAGCTATTTCAGCAATCGTGATACCTTAGTGTCCCTAATCAGAGATCACAAAATCGATATTGTCGCTCTTAACGAAACCTGGCTGAAGGACATACACAATGTTTTCATTAGGGGATTTGACTGCTTAAGACTCGATAGGGAGGATGGAAAAGGTGGTGTGGCCTTCTTCATCCGCACACAGTTGCCTTAAAATGTTTTGGATTTGTCCCATATCTCCTTTCCTCGAAAAATGCAAGTCCTCGGCATAGAATTTGCGAAATTTTCGATCTTCAATATTCACCTTCCTCCCGATGTTGCTCTTTTTCCTAATATTCTTCTGAATACTATACAGGTATCTACAAAACCTTTTCTTCTACTGGGGGATCTGAATGGCCAACACCATGCTTGGGGATCCACGGTAAATAATCGGAATGGATGTATTTTATTTGATTCACAGGGATGGAGCATCTTGAATGATGGTAGGGGTACGCGCTTCGCATCACCAAACAATAATGTGAGCGCACCTGATATTGCTATATGTACCCCTCTACTTTCTTTTGCTTTTCTTTGGGACCTTGTTTACGATGCGGGTATGAGCGACCACTATCCAGTTATTTGCTCGCTCCAGACGGAGCCTCAGGACACATGCCCTAATGGTATACGAAAATTCTCCTTACAACATCCGAGTAGCGAATTGGACTAGTTACACGGATCTCTTGGACCTGACCTTACCTCTCAACGAGATCTCCTACTCTGCGCTTTACCAATCTATGATTTCTTCTGCAGATATCGCCATTCCCAAGAAACATATATATAAACAACCCAAACCACGCCATCCATGGTGGAACCATGAGTGTTCCGAAGCCATTTCCAAGCGCAAGGCTGCTTTTTCATTATATAAGGCCCACCCTTCTATGGAAAACTTTATCAACGTTAAGCGAGTTCGAGCGCACACTCGATTAATTCTTCGAAGAAATAAGACCAAAGGATTTCGTGATTTCTGCACTCAGCTATCCCCCTCTACCCCAATTTCCAAGGTATGGTCCTCCGTCCGAGCCTTCTCTAAATCCAGACATTGCATAGGACGAAGTGCCCCTCTGGGCTCCCACATTGCGGTGGA